AGCCATCCCTCTGATTAAAACACAGGCTGGGTTATGTCCGTCTAGCGGTACAGGAAGTTCAGGACAGCCAGTCCCTCTGATTAAAACACAGGCTGGGTTATGTCCGTCTAGCGGTACAGGAAGTTCAGGACAGCCATCCCTCTGATTAAAACACAGGCTGGGTTATGTCCGTCTTACGGTACAGGAAGTTCAGGATAGTCAGTCCCTCTGATGTCCGTAAAACACAGGGCTGTCAGTTATTGAAAACACATGGAGCTATATCCGTCTAGCGGTACAGGAAGTTCGGGATAGTCAGTCCCTCTGATTAAAACACAGGCTGGGTTATGTCCGTCTAGCGGTACAGGAAGTTCAGGATAGTCAGTCCCTCTGATTAAAACACAGGCTGGGTTATATCCGTCTAGCGGTACAGGAAGTTCGGAATAGTCAACCCCTCTGATTAAAACACAGGCTGGGTTATGTCCGTCTAACGGTACAGGAAGTTCAGGATAGTCAGCCCCTCTGATTAAAACACAGGCTGGGTTATGTCCGTCTAGCGGATACAGGAAGTTCGGGATAGTCAACCCCTCTGATTAAAACACAGGCTGGGTTATGTCCGTCTAGCGGTACAGGAAGTTCAGGACAGCCAGTCCCTCTGATTAAAACACAGGCTGGGTTATGTCCGTCTAGCGGTACAGGAAGCTCAGGACAGCCAGGCACAGGTTATGTCCGTCCCCTCTGATTAAAACACAGGCTGGGTTATGTCCGTCTAGCGGTACAGGAAGCTCAGGACAGCCATCCCCTCTGATTAAAACACAGGCTGTGTTATGTCCGTCTAACGGTACAGGAAGTTCAGGACAGTCAGTCCCTCTGATTAAATCCCTCTGATTAAAACACAGGCTGGGTTATGTCCGTCTAGCGGTACAGGAAGTTCAGGACAGCCATCCCTCTGATTAAAACACAGGCTGGGTTATGTCCGTCTAGCGGTACAGGAAGTTCAGGACAGCCAGCCCCTCTGATTAAAACACAGGCTGGGTTATGTCCGTCTAGCGGTACAGGAAGTTCGGGATAGTCAGCCCCTCTGATTAAAACACAGGCGCAGGGTTTGTCGCTGGGACTGTTGCTGGGACTGGGACTGGATGGGTTTGTCGCTGGGACTGTTGCTGGGACGGTCACTAATACTTGGACTGGGTGGGTCTGTCGCTGGGACTGTTGCTGGGACGGTCACTGATACTTGGACTGGGTGGGTCTGTCGCTGGGACTGTTGCTGGGACGGTCACTGATACTTGGACTGGGTGGATCTGTCGCTGGGACTATTGCTGGAACTGTCGATGGGACTGGGACTGGGACTGGGACTGGGTAGGTCTGTCGCTGGGACTGGGACTGAAGATCGCCCTAGAAGAAGCCGCCTCCCAAGAGTTACCACCCAAACCTAGGACCATTACATTCGGGTTGCTCCTTGCGTGAAGTGGGGATTCGACCAACAAGGTCTGTTGTCACCCCTGTTTTGAGAGATTTCCATCGGCGCAATCACTTGCGGTGGTGTCGTACAGTCCGAAACTGGAACCTTAGAAACTGGAAGCGAGTCTGGTTCAGTAATACATCACGATTTCTTCTTCACCGGCGAGATGTAAGACGGCGTGTTTACCGTCGGAGTTATGAACGTTTTGCCCCTGATTGCATTCGACAGGTCGACAGATTCGGTGGAGAGGGTGTCATGGTGTTGGGTGAGATATCCAGCACGCAAAGATCTGATTTAGTGGCGGTTCAGGGGAATTTGACAGCAAGTCGGCACATCAACGAAGTCCTTGCCCGTCACCTGCTTCCGATGGACCGATAGGGGGAAGTGTTCCAGCATAACAACACTATTGGTGCACATACAGCACGGGTCACGGTCCGCTACCTTGCCAATTCTATTCTAACGTCAATGTCTTGCCATGACCTTCCCGATGACCAGATCTAAGCCGATAGAACGGCGGAGGCTACTAACGCCTACAGGGAATAACGCCAACAGTCTTACATAAACAAACTTTACTCACGAATGATTTTCAATTTTACTGCTTTCAGCCTTTCATTAAAGTGGTATGTCCCATTTGAGTTTACACTTTTGCCTACAGTAAATACAGAACAACGACTTTCTTTGTTGATGAACCACTTCTTATTCATTTTTCGTACCCCAATTTTGTACACCTATTTCACACTATTGTGAAAACCATTTTATCTTTAATTTTTACACATTTTTCACACTGTCATAACATTAATGTTTTACACAACTATGGGATGAAATCGAACGACGTGAACGCCAACGTCAAAACACACATCAGACACTTCCACAACTGGCCATCACATTGCAGGGAGAATGCGGAAGTATTCCGCAAGAGCGACTTCGTCGACTTATGCAGTCTGTGCCGAGCAGTAGTTGCTGCCAAAGGTGGCAATACACAGTGCTGACTTTGACGCCATCTTGTGGACTCACGTAAACAGAAACACAACAATAAAGGCTGCTGTTGTGTTGGCGAACTCTTTGTCTATAGACGTATCTTATTACCATTGAAATTATACGAAATAATTGCTCTTAAACTAACGCAATACATTCTTCTATTAGTTTATGCGTTTCTTTGTTTTTAAAGAGTGTTGCTGGAATATTGCTGAGAGCGGTGTTAAACTACAAACAAACAAATGTCTGTTTTTGCGTGTTCTTTATTATCTGTTGCAGGTGTGACGAAAGTGCCGCCACTTGGTTTTGCAATCACAAATCATTCAGTAGACACACTGTTGTCCACCTTACATGTTCCCTGTGTGTTAACCCTTTATTCCTTTACTAGGCCTCTCATATACCATCAACAACAGCTTAACTGTTTTAAATTCTGCTAGCTCCCACTATGATTTACTATTAATTTTAATTATTTCATTATACCCTCTCCCCATCTCCATACCCCCCACCCTATAGGCGGATCCATGTGTGTGTGTGTGTGTGTGTAAAGGGGTGCGCTACCCCCATCCCCTTTTGTCCTGAAATTTAACGAAATGACCATTGAAACTCGGGAAAATGAAGTGTGTTTTCCCCCTTCTCAATAGTGTGCCCTCCACTTCCACCACACACACACACATTTTCTCAAAAGCTGTATCCACCCCAGCACGCCAGCCCCGTACTAGCCCAAGTTTATTAGTTTATTACCACTGTCAATTCAGTTATATTTCTCATTTACTCTTTTCTTATAATTCTTCTAAAACATGATATTTTTGTCTCATTTCCTAATCTCGGCTTTTATTTATTGTTATGTCATGTTTAATTAAGTTTCATATTCCCAATTAAGGTAAGTTTTAGCCCCCTCATTTATAGTTTAATGGGTATGGTGGTTTAAACCCTAGCTATTACGTGTACATGTATTCGTTTCCTGAGCTCCCACCTACCCCGTGGGCGACACGGGCTACTCTGTCTGAAGCCGACGTTAAACCCTTGATGATAATCTAGAACCGGAAACCAGTGGCTGACATTATGAACAACGGACCCACGACAATCGAGGTACTCAGTACGCCAGATCATCTCGTCACTGTACCACCCTATATATTCAACACGCTAGTTTATACGAGCGCTATGCGTACAAGACAAGTCTTTCTTTGATGTCTTCGACAAAAGTAGAGACTAAAGCCTCGTGATACGTTCAAAGTCTATAGTTAACCTGTCGTATCAACGAGCGCAGCGCTGTAATATACTGTTCAACACACTTCATCGATCACAATGTTCTGTTACCACTGCATCTATAGCTACCGGCAAATAAAAACACCTTGAGCGAGATTGACAGATACTTGTTTCCTCTAAACTGTTATAAATTATTGGTTATTTTCAACGTCTTCAACTGGCACAGGTGTGTGCATTAATTTAGACCTACAGGAAATACTCAAATTAATAAAAGGTCACAGGCTGATTGGGTGGTCAGAGTGTGTGACCTGGCTGTGTGGGCGTGACAGTGTGTGATCTGGCTGATTGGGATGTCGCAGTGTGTGACCTGGCTGAGTAGGTGTGACAGTGTGTGATCTGGCTGATTGGGATGTCGCAGTGTGTGACCTGGTTGATTCGGTGGTGACAGTGTGTAATCTGGTTGATTGGGTGTGACAGTGTGTGGCCTGGCTGTCTAGGTGGTCACATTGTTTAACCTGGCTGATTGGGTGGTGACAGTTTGTGACCTGACTGATTGGGTGGTGACAGTTTGTGACCTGACTGATTGGGTGGTGACAGTGTGTGACCCGACTGATTGGGTGGTGACAGTTTGTGACCTGACTGATTGGGTGGTGACAGTGTGTGACCCGACTGGTTGGATGGTGACAGTATGTGACCTGACTGATTGGGTGGTGACAGTTTGTGACCTGACTGATTGGGTGGTGACAGTGTGTGACCTGACTGATTGGGTGGTGACAGTTTGTGACCTGACTGGTTGGGTGGTGACAGTTTGTGACCTGACTGGTTGTGTGGTCACAGTGTGTGACCTTGCTGACGGAGTGCCAACACTGGTCATTCCCGGTTGCCACATAAGGCAAGCACGAATTCTTAAAGGAATCAGGTGACATCTTTCTAAAACAACTCAGTGTCATTTCCTTTTTTCAACTCGACTTGAAAACGTTGGTGTTAACACGCGAACCACACACAGAACACAAGTATTCCATATTATGAGAATGTGTAAATATGTAAATATTCTAAAGGACAATTCAACGTCGTTTCACTTTGAGGGCTTTCTCTTCAAAACATAATCCCTTCAAAGTGTCTTGAACAAAATCTAGACACAAACACACAAGAGCATCCACGTCGCTATCAAAGTGCAAGAACAATCTGATGCAATAACGTGCAATACCTAATCACAACGTTATACCAGTTTTTTCTTAGTTCCAGTACAATATGAGCTTTCAGACACTTTAGAATTAATGTCAATATTGCTTTGTTCTTCTCGTGACATGTGAAGTAAGTTATTTGTTGTTAGGGAAAACGTATCAGTTGTGACAGATATGAATTACCTCCCCTAAAAAGATCACGTGACAGGGCAATGCACTTCCGGTAAATATTGTGAAATGTATTCGATAACATTTCCAAAATAAGGATAGCATTCAAAATGATACCGATACATTACTGCTATTTCATTATACAGAAAGGACATATCCTGAAATGACGGATTCATCAAACGTCCAGGTGAGATATGCGTTCAGTGTTCAACGGTAACCTACATTCCAGTGGGTAATGGCTCTCCCAGTCCCAAAAACATTGCCGGTATGGGCGGGGCCATCAGCTCGTACACATCGAATACACATGGCCTTTTTCTCAATCAATCTCGTGAAACTGAACACAGCGTGGTGAATCGTTATGCGAACAGTGAACATCCCATGATCAATGCTAACATTATTTCTGACGGGATGTGCTTAATGGGAGATTGAGAACCCAATATGACTCATGAAATTGAACATGAAAAATGTTTCTCACAAATGGTGATCTAGATGTTGATAATGTTTGGTGCGACCTAGATTGTATATATTAAATGTGTCTGATGTCAAAGAGAAAAAATGTGAAAAAAATTAAGTTATGTACGAAGAGGATAACTCAAATATGTCGGCTACTCTCTCATGTGGAATGAACCTTGGAATATTTTGGCAATGTGTGAACTGAGTCTGTAATTAAGGTATTTAACAGACAGATTAACAATATCTGACTTGGGAGTTTGAACAATGTGGGCTTTGAATGGCTTGAGTTCAACTTAGGGAGAGACTGCTTACCAAAGTCCACCTACACCATAGTACATGTACAATCTGACATGTTTAAGAGAAAACCCAAACAGATAACATTCACCCCTGCTTCATTTAGGTTATCAAACTGAATCGTTGCAGCCCTATACAGGCAGTGGTAGTCTTGGGTGTCAGTACAATGTGTCCGGGTGGGATAGCTCTGTATAACTTGCAATCTCAGTGGCTAAAGCTACAAAAATAAACGTTAGGACTACTACAACCACCTCTGGTCAACTGCAACTGCAGATAGGCTGCTACCAGGAAGAGTCCTCCATAGCCTGATTAATCGAGTTCATCACTACACGTGTAGCGTGAACCAAGGCTTGGTTCTTCTCATCTCGCGTAAGTCATGGTAACAAAACATGTTAACGAAACGACCCAATCATAATAAAAACACCTCCCCTCCTCGATAATGCCCAGAGTGTACGTTCCGATAAATCTCCACTATACCCTGGATGCATATACGTCTCGGCTCGATAATTTTATGACCTCCCTGGCTCCGCATTCTCACAGTAGCCAGTCAGGTAAACTGTTACAACCCAGGTTGCCAAGTGTCAACAAAGATAGCGGTTTGCTCGCTGTGCCACTCAGGTGTAGGGCAAAAATTATACAGACAAATTGACAGGTCATGAACCTTCAAAAAATATATGCAAGGACTCCTTCTACCCCTTTCAGAGTATCTCTCAAACAACTGGGTTGCTAAGTTTAATCGGTTAGATATAAGAAGCGAAAGTGAGTTATGATAGAAGCCTTGTGATCTGGTGATTGGTACGCTCAGCTTACCACCGTAGACACCTGATTGGATAAAATTATTAGCCCGAGCCATAGGTGCATCCAAGGTATAGTGGAGAATTATTGGAACATATACCCTGGAGATTATCGAGGATAAACGCCTCCATGTAAGAATAGAATTTTGCATTTGGTTTTGAAAGATGTTTCTTTTGCAGTTCAGTATATATTATGATATTGATATATCATTAAATTTGTAGTGTCAATATCTTATCAAAACCAATTTATGAATAAGGATTAAGAATTAATTTTTAGCTGCGACAGAAAGACAGGTCAGTATTATCTTTGGAATGCAATGGCATATTAGAAAGTGGTCAAATGTAACACGTTATGTTTGGGATTACACTTTTTCAGTAAGGTTCAGATTCAAGTACTTTTGATGAGTTCCATCTATGGTTCGAACCCACACCCTCAGAGTCAGGCAGGCAATCGCCAGCACACAAAGTCAGCCGTCTCAGCACCTGCAGTTTAAACATTTGATGAATTAGCCTAATTCTTATAATTATTAAACAGAAAAGTTTATTAATGCAGGTGCAGATGGAATTTTATTACCCACGTGGTCAACGTATGGGTAGTTGCATATTAATCTCATACGTCACACGAGTGTCGTATCGCGTTGACCTGTGTCGTAACGACTTGACCTGAAATTCTAACGATTTGATTGGATAACCGATGACCACTCAATTAGGTCACATTCTGACGTTACTATTTTTTCATTCATAACAAACACGTGAATTCATTCATTCTACAACTTAGATGCATTGTGGGAATGTAAACATTGTGAACGTTGCCGTGTCGCTGTTTAATTGTGAGTCGAACTGAGACATTATATCTGTCGAAAAACATAAACGCATTGTTTCCACCAGTGATGTTAGCCGAATGAAGCAACTCGAAACGAGGTGCAACGGAGTAGTTTACTGTAGGACGCTGTACGAGGCGATGACAACTGACATGCATCGTGACGCCGGTTACCATGGCAGTGACGTCATTAGTGTGACGTCATGCAAATATTGTACTACAGTACAAAACTCTTCCGCAACCTCTTTATGAAACCGGTTTCAGTTTGAAACCAAAAACATAACAAAAATACGCTATTTTGTCAATTTAAATGCATGTAAGACGTGGGGAATAAATAAAATACCACACTCAGTCTCATTACATACGAATTATACGAAACTCCGACCTTCCTATGTTATCTGACCTCGCTTTCGCTCGGTCAGATAACATACGAAGGACACTCGTTTCGTATAATTCGTATGTAATCAGACCTCGTGTAGTATTCTCTCTGTCTCTATCTGTGCATGTACAGAGCAGCTGTTGGTGAATAGATAGATATATGCTCTGATATACATCAGGAGACTATTGAGTCAATATATTGATACTCTTCAGTCAGTGACAGCCCGATCTGCATTGTTGGTTTCAGTCGTCGTCCCTGTCAGTGGATGCGCCGGTCTTCACTCCGGGAAGTTATGGTGCCAATGTGGGCGTGGCCTCACCTGCCAGTCACACTGACGGACAGCTAGGGGGGGTGCCCCTAACAGAGGTGCCAGGCTACATCACAAGCTGCTTCCCCTTTATACAGCCCGATCAGGGACCAAGGTGAGTTCCCCTTTATACAGCCCGATCAGGGACCAAGGTGAGTTCCCCTTTATACAGCCCAGTCAGGGACCAAGGTGAGTTCCCCTTTATACAGCCCAGTCAGGGACCAAGGTGAGTTCCCTTTTTATACAGCCCAGTCAGGGACCAAGGTGAGTTCCCCTTTATACAGCCCAGTCAGGGACCAAGGTGAGTTCCCTTTATACAGCCCAGTCAGGGACCAAGGTGAGTTCCCTTTATACAGCCCAGTCATGGACCAAGGTGAGTTCCCTTTTTATACAGCCCAGTCAGGGACCAAGGTGAGTTCCCCCTTTATACAGCCCAGTCAGGGACCAAGGTGAGTTCCCTTTATACAGCCCAGTCAGGGACCAAGGTGAGTTCCCCTTTATACAGCCCAGTCAGGGACCAAGGTGAGTTCCCCTTTATACAGCCCAGTCAGGGACCAAGGTGAGTTCCCTTTTATACAGCCCAGTCAGGGACCAAGGTGAGTTCCCCTTTATACAGCCCAGTCAGGGACAAAGGTGAGTTCCCCTTTATACAGCCCAGTCAGGGACAAAGGTGAGTTCTCCTTTACACAACCCAGTCAGGGAACAGGTAAGTTCCCCTTTTATACAGACCAGTTAGGGAACAATGTGAGTTCCCCTTTATACAGACCAGTTAGGGAACAATGTGAGCTCCCCTTTATACAGACCAGTTAGGGAACAATGTGAGTTCCCCTTTATACAGACCAGTTAGGGAACAATGTGAGTTCCCCTTTATGCAGACCAGTCAAGGAACAGGTAAGTTCCCCTTTATACAGCCTGGTCAGGGACAAAGGTGAGTTCCCCTTTATGCAGACCATTCAGGGACCAAGGTGAGTTCCCCTTTATACAGCCCGATCAGGGACCAAGGTGAGTTCCCCTTTATACAGCCTGATCAGGGAGGGACCAAGGTGAGTTCCCCTTTATACAGCCTGATCAGGGACCAAGGTGAGTTCCCCTTTATACAGCTCAGTCAGGGAACAGGGTGAGTTCCCCTTTATACAGCTTGATCAGGGAATAGAGTGAGACACCCTTCATACACCCCAATCAGAACTGATTAGCAAATTTAAATGTGGGTAAAGTTCATTTTTGAGTGTTTCAGATAAAAATCAGTGTTCAAGCCATTTTGAAACCATGACTAGAATCAAAGGTTTTTATAAAGGGAATTAGAAAATAAACTATAGTACTGTCGAAAATAGAAAAAAACTGTATTTTCTCATTTATCTCTACAATTTATGTAGTTGATATGTGAAAGTTTGAAATATCTGTTAAGCTAAGTTCGGCCTAACTACAGGCTCAGTGGTAGAGAGATAGGAAACGGAGAAAAGGGACTTTACTGAGGGGAAATTAGTGCAGAAATGAGCAATGCGTTTTTTTTCTAAGTCCAAAAAGACTTATTTGGAACAGACCATGGCTTTATGCAAATTAGTGTCTTGTGATATTATATTACAAAGGACACTTTTTAAATGCCCAATTTGAAATTAGGCGTAGATTCATTATAAACGATAGCTGACGTAAAAAATAATAACTTTTATGCTGAAACTATTAAGGATGTAGCTACCATGCAGTCTCACTGTCACTATAAAAAGAAACAGATAGGAGGGGTCGTCTCAAAAGCAAAACCTGGGGTTGGGCTTGGGGATAGAGATATCAGCTAAGATAAGATAATCCTGTAGGGCAATTATACTGGGGAGGTACACGGCACGTCATAACAATTTACAAATAATATCCAGTCCTGTCGATCTTCGAATTGGTCATGCCACCTATATACTATGATGCGTTTCTATGGTTTTCGGGTATCACACTCTCTTACATATCTCAACATAAACTTTATGAAAGAAAGACACGTAAGATGTTAATCAATAGATGAGACATAGTCAACACACATGAAAAAGCACAAAATATCTTTGAGATGACCCTTTGTGCCTGTAAGCAGCACGTGCATTTCATGCCAGGTGAGCCGACGGTCCGTCATCATACCTGGCTGTGCGACCTAATTGCCATCTATAGTCCGATCTATTGTTTTCAGCAGCTATTCTTATTTTTTCTAAGTTTTGCCTGATTTTACGAGTAAACATGCTTTTCTGGATATCGTATTACGCATCCCACTGAACGCCCAGTTAGGTCGAAATGGGTTATTTCGACATATGTCACTTTTAGGGATACAGAGTAACAGCCTAAAAACAGTTTTTTTCTATTTCCGACAATACTATAGGTTCATGTTATGTTTGTTCTAATTGTGTTTTTTTTATCAAAGGCCTGTTTATGTTACAGTCGCAAAAATAACAAATAGGTGTCAAAGTGTTTGGCACGAATAAGAGGTTCTGTTCGATTGAAGCACAAGTAACTAATATTTATCAGGAAAGTAGTCCGTCACTATCTGACCCTTAGGTCATGACTATGGAGTAGCCAATCAGAGGCTTAGAAATCGATCTCACACATATGTTTGATACCATTTGTCTCACATGGGTTTCTCACTACTGGGTGTGTAATAAATAAACATTTCATGGTTTCCAAACACAGATGTATTGTGCCCCTTGTGTTTGTTGTCCGATGGTTATGTTTTGTTTTTCAGGGGAAATAGCAAGTGGGGGGCACCTGGCGGGGGGCGTGGACGTGGTACCGGAAGGTCATTTACAGGTGACAATATAAATTACTTTCCAGCAAGTGGTTTTAGTCTTCAGTACTTTTATGATATTTATGTCACATTATGACGAATGATGTCACATGTCATATTACAGTGTGATATGACGTTTTATTGTGTGACATGTTCTTTTACTGTGTGACATGGGGTGACATGGTGTTTTACTGTGTGATATGGTGTTTTACTGAGTGACATGATGCTTTATTGTGTGACATGGTGTGACATGTTTTACTGTGTGACATGATGTTTCACTATGTGACATGTTTTACTGTGATGTGGTGTGACATGATGTTTTACTGTGTGGCATGATGCTTTATTGTGTGACATGTTTTACTGTGTGACATGGTGTGGCATCTTTTACTGTGTGACATGATGTTTTACTGTGTAACATGGTGTGACATGATGTTTTACTGTGTGACATGGTGTGGCATCTTTTACTGTGTGACATGATGTTTTACTGTGTAACATGGTGTGCCATGTTTTACTGTGTGGCATGATGTTTTACTGTCTGACATGATATTTTACTGTGTGACAAGGTTTGACATGATGTTTTACTGTTTGACATAATGTTTTACTGTGTGACACAGTGTGACATGATGTTTTACTGCGTGACATTGTGTGACATGTTTTACTGTATGACATGATGTTGTACTGTGTGACATGGTGTTTTAATGTGTGACATGGTGTTTTAATGTGTGACCTAATGTTTTACTATGACATGGTGTTTTACTGTGTTACACGGTGTGACATGTTTTACTCTGTGGCATGATGTTTTACTGTGTGACATGGTGCGACATGATGTTTTACTGTATGGCATGCTGTTTTACTGTATGACGTTGTTTTACTGTGTGACATATTTTACTGACATGTTGTGGCATGTTTTACTGTCTAACATGGTGTGACATGTTTTACTGTATGACATGGTGTTTTACTGTATGACATGATGTTTTACTGTGTGACATGATGTTTTACTTGTGTGACCTTTTGTTGTGCTGTGTATGACCTTTTGTGTAGGACGAGGAGGCAAGTCACGGGGCAGAGGCATCGGCAACTCTTCTTACCTTAGTCAGCACTGGTCAACCAATGTACAGGGCTACGTGCCCCCCGGCCAGAACCTGCAGGGGATGACCTTCGACGGGGGCACAGCCACAGGCATGGGGGACGGCCTGCTACCTACCCCCTTGTTTACCCCCAGCTCCGGGCAGCCAGGGATGAATGGATACAATAATAATTATGGAATGTATGGTATAAGCTCAATACATCAACAGATGGCGTCACCTTCGACGTGGAATAACTTTCCTACATCACAGGGAAACAAGTTCTCATCAAATGTGGTAAGTTACCACGATAGACGCCCCAAAGCCATCTTACCGCTAGAACTGTCTTCATGTTAAAGTTTTGAAGGTACAGTCATTCAGCACTACAACTATAGAAGCTGTTGGCAATGTATGATAGTTTCAAACATCTTAGTGTCACGACCATCGTGTTAATTTATGGGAGTTACGAACATGTAAGTGTTACAACCATCATAAGCCAGTAGTAATGTATGGAAGATGCTAACATCTAAGTGTTACGACCATCGTAAACCAGTGGTAATGTATAGGAGATGCTAACATCTAAGTGTTACGACCATCGTAAGCCAGTGGTAATGTATGGAAGATGCTAACATCTAAGTGTTACGACCATCGTAAACCAGTGGTAATGTATAGGAGATGCTAACATCTAAGTGTTACGACCATCGTAAGCCAGTGGTAATGTATGGAAGATGCTAACATCTAAGTGTTACGACCATCGTGAAACCAGTGGTAATGTATAGGAGATGCTAACATCTAAGTGTTACGACCATCGTAAGCCAGTGGTAATGTATGGAAGATGCTAACATCTAAGTGTTACGACCATCGTAAACCAGTGGTAATGTATAGGAGATGCTAACATCTAAGTGTTACGACCATCATAAGCCAGTGGTAATGTATGGAAGATGCTAACATCTAAGTGTTACGACCATCGTAAACCAGTGGTAATGTATGGAAGATGCTAACATCTAAGTGTTACGACCATCGTAAACCAGTGGTAATGTATGGAAGATGCTAACATCTAAGTGTTACGACCATCGTAAACCAGTGGTAATGTATAGGAGATGCTATCATCTAAGTGTTACGACCATCATAAGCCAGTGGTAATGTATGGAAGATGCTAACATCTAAGTGTTACGACCATCGTAAACCAGTGGTAATGTATGGAAGATGCTAACATCTAAGTGTTACGACCATCGTAAACCAGTGGTAATGTATGGAAGATGCTAACATCTAAGTGTTACGACCATCGTAAACCAGTGGTAATGTATGGAAGATGCTAACATCTAAGTGTTACGACCATCGTAAACCAGTGGTAATGTATGGAAGATGCTAACATCTAAGTGTTACGACCATCATAAGCCAGTGGTAATGTATAGGAGATGCTAACATCTAAGTGTTACGACCATCGTAAACCAGTGGTAATGTATGGAAGATGCTAACATCTAAGTGTTACGACCATCGTAAACCAGTGGTAATGTATGGAAGATGCTAACATCTAAGTGTTACGACCATCGTAAACCAGTGGTAATGTATGGAAGATGCTAACATCTAAGTGTTACGACCATCGTAAACCAGTGGTAATGTATGGAAGATACTAACATCTAAGTGTTACGACCATCGTAAACCAGTGGTAATGTAAGGGAGTTACTAACATCTAAGTGTTACGACCATCGTAAACCAGTGGTAATGTATGGAAGATACTAACATCTAAGTGTTACGACCATCGTAAACCAGTGGTAATGTAAGGGAGTTACTAACATCTAAGTGTTACGACCATCGTAAACCAGTGGTAATGTATGGAAGATGCTAACATCTAAGTGTTACGACCATCGTAAACCAGTGGTAATGTATGGAAGATGCTAACATCTAAGTGTTACGACCATAGTAAACCAGTGGTAATGTATGGAAGATGCTAACATCTAAGTGTTACGACCATCAAAACCAGTGGTAATGTATGGAAGATGCTAACATCTAAGTGTTACGACCATCGTAAACCAGTGGTAATGTATGGAAGATGCTAACATCTAAGTGTTACGACCATCGTAAACCAGTGGTAATGTATGGAAGATACTAACATCTAAGTGTTACGACCATCGTAAACCAGTGGTAATGTAAGGGAGTTACTAACATCTAAGTGTTACGACCATCGTAAACCAGTGGTAATGTATGGAAGATGCTAACATCTAAGTGTTACGACCATCGTAAACCAGTGGTAATGTATGGAAGATGCTAACATCTAAGTGTTACGACCATTGTAAACCAGTGGTAATGTATGGAAGATGCTAACATCTAAGTGTTACGACCATCGTGAAACCAGTGGTAATGTATGGAAGATGCTAACATCTAAGTGTTACGACCATCGTGAAACCAGTGGTAATGTATGGAAGATACTAACATCTAAGTGTTACGACCATCGTAAACCAGTGGTAATGTAATGGGAGATGCTAACATCTAAGTGTTACGACCATCGTAAACCAGTGGTAATGTATGGAAGATGCTAACATCTAAGTGTTACGACCATCGTAAACCAGTGGTAATGTATAGTAGGTACTAACATCTAAGTGTTACGACCATCGTAAACCAGTGGTAATGTAAGGGAGTTACTAACATCTAAGTGTTACGACCATCGTAAACCAGTGGTAATGTATGGAAGATGCTAACATCTAAGTGTTACGACCATCGTAAACCAGTGGTAATGTATGGAAGATGCTAACATCTAAGTGTTACGACCATCGTAAACCAGTGGTAATGTATGGAAGATGCTAACATCTAAGTGTTACGACCATCGTAAACCAGTGGTAATGTATGGAAGATGCTAACATCTAAGTGTTACGACCATCGTAAACCAGTGGTAATGTATGGAAGATGCTAACATCTAAGTGTTACGACCATCGTAAACCAGTGGTAATGTATGGAAGATGCTAACATCTAAGTGTTACGACCATCGTAAACCAGTGGTAATGTATGGAAGATGCTAACATCTAAGTGTTACGACCATCGTAAACCAGTGGTAATGTATGGAAGATGCTAACATCTAAGTGTTACGACCATCGTAAACCAGTGGTAATGTATGGAAGATGCTAACATCTAAGTGTTACGACCATCGTAAACCAGTGGTAATGTATGGAAGATGCTAACATCTAAGTGTTACGACCATCGTAAACCAGTGGTAATGTATGGAAGATGCTAACATCTAAGTGTTACGACCATCGTAAACCAGTGGTAATGTATAGTAGGTACTAACATCTAAGTGTTACGACCATCGTAAACCAGTGGTAATGTATGGAAGATGCTAACATCTAAGTGTTACGACCATCGTAAACCAGTGGTAATGTATAGGAGATGCTAACATCTAAGTGTTAGGACCATCGTAAACCAGTGGTAATGTATGGAAGATGCTAACATCTAAGTGTTACGACCATCGTAAACCAGTGGTAATGTATGGAAGATGCTAACATCTAAGTGTTACGACCATCGCGAAACCAGTGGTAATGTATGGAAGATGCTAACATCTAAGTGTTCAATGCACCATCGTAAACCAGTGGTAATGTATGGAAGATGCTAACATCTAAGTGTTACGACCACGCATCGTAAACCAGTGGTAATGTATGGAAGATGCTAACATCTAAGTGTTACGACCATCGTGAAGCCAGTGGTAATGTATGGAAGATGCTAACATCTAAGTGTTAACGACCATCGTAAACCAGTGGTAATGTATGGAAGATGCTAACATCTAAGTGTTACGACCATCGTAAACCAGTGGTAATGTATGGAAGATGCTAACATCTAAGTGTTACGACCATCAGTAAACCAGTGGTAATGTATGGAAGATGCTAACATCTAAGTGTTACGACCATCGTAAAACCAGTGGTAATGTATGGAAGATGCTAACATCTAAGTGTTACGACCATCGTGAAACCAGTGGTAATGTATGGAAGATGCTAACATCTAAGTGTTACGACCATCGTAAACCAGTGGTAATGTATGGAAGATACTAACATCTAAGTGTTACGACCATCGTAAACCAGTGGTAATGTAAGGGAGTTACTAACATCTAAGTGTTACGACCATCGTAAACCAGTGGTAATGTATGGAAGATGCTAACATCTAAGTGTTACTTACCATCATTAAGCCAGTGGTAATGTATGGAAGATGCTAACATCTAAGTGTTACGACCATCGTAAACCAGTGGTAATGTATGGAAGTTGCTAACATCTAAGTGTTACGACCATCGTAAACCAGTGGTAATGTATGGAAGATGCTAACATCTAAGTGTTACGACCATCGTAAACCAGTGGTAATGTATGGAAGATACTAACATCTAAGTGTTACGACCATCGTAAACCAGTGGTAATGTATGGAAGATACTAACATCTAAGTGTTAACGACCATCGTAAACCAGTGGTAATGTATGGAAGATGCTAACATCTAAGTGTTACGACCATCGTGAAACCAGTGGTAATGTATGGAAGATGCTAACATCTAAGTGTTACGACCATCGTAAACCAGTGGTAATGTATGGAAGATGCTAACATCTAAGTGTTAACGACCATCGTAAACCAGTGGTAATGTATGGAAGATGCTAACATCTAAGTGTTACGACCATCGTAAACCAGTGGTAATGTATGGAAGATGCTAACATCTAAGTGTTACGACCATCGTAAACCAGTGGTAATGTATGGAAGATGCTAACATCTAAGTGTTACGACCATCGTGAAACCAGTGGTAATGTATGGAAGATGCTAACATCTAAGTGTTACGACCATCGTAAGCCAGTGGTAATGTATGGAAGATGCTAACATCTAAGTGTTAACGACCATCGTAAACCAGTGGTAATGTATGGAAGATGCTAACATCTAAGTGTTACGACCATCGTAAACCAGTGGTAATGTATGGAAGATGCTAACATCTAAGTGTTACGACCATCGTAAACCAGTGGTAATGTATGGAAGATACTAACATCTAAGTGTTACGACCATCGTAAACCAGTGGTAATGTATGGAAGATGCTAACATCTAAGTGTTACGACCATCGTAAACCAGTGGTAATGTATGGAAGATGCTAACATCTAAGTGTTACGACCATCGTAAACCAGTGGTAATGTATGGAAGATGCTAACATCTAAGTGTTAAGACCATCGTAAACCAGTGGTAATGTATGGAAGATGCTAACATCTAAGTGTTACGACCATCGTAAGCCAGTGGTAATGTATGGAAGATGCTAACATCTAAGTGTTACGACCATCGTAAACCAGTGGTAATGTATGGAAGATGCTAACATCTAAGTGTTACGACCATCGTAAACCAGTGGTAATGTATGGAAGATGCTAACATCTAAGTGTTACGACCATCGTAAGCCAGTGGTAATGTATGGAAGATGCTAACATCTAAGTGTTACGACCATCGTAAGCCAGTGGTAATGTATGGAAGATGCTAACATCTAAGTGTTAACGACCATCGTAAACCAGTGGTAATGTATGGAAGATGCTAACATCTAAGTGTTACGACCATCGTAGAAGCCAGTGGTAATGTATGGAAGATGCTAACATCTAAGTGTTAACGACCATCAGAAGCCAGTGGTAATGTATGGAAGATGCTAACATCTAAGTGTTACGACCATCGTAAGCCAGTGGTAATGTATGGAAGATGCTAACATCTAAGTGTTACGACCATCGTAAACCAGTGGTAATGTATGGAAGATGCTAACATCTAAGTGTTACGACCATCGTAAACCAGTGGTAATGTATAGTAGATACTAACATCTAAGTGTTACGAACATCGTAAGCCAGTGGTAATGTATGGAACATGCTAACATCTAAGTGTTACGAACATCGTAAACCAGTGGTAATGTATGGAACATGCTAACATCTAAGTGTTACGACCATCGTAAGCCAGTGGTAATGTATGGAACATGCTAACATCTAAGTGTTACGACCATCGTGAAGCCAGTGGTAATGTATGGAAGATGCTAACATCTAAGTGTTACGACCATCGTGAAGCCAGTGGTAATGTATGGAACATGCTAACATCTAAGTGTTACGACCATCGTAAGCCAGTGGTAATGTATGGAAGATGCTAACATCTAAGTGTTACGACCATCGTAAACCAGTGGTAATGTATGGAACATGCTAACATCTAAGTGTTACGACCATCGTAAGCCAGTGGTAATGTATGGAAGATGCTAACATCTAAGTGTTTACGACCATCGTGAAGCCAGTGGTAATGTATGGAACATGCTAACATCTAAGTGTTACGACCATCGTAAGCCAGTGGTAATGTATGGAAGATGCTAACATCTAAGTGTTACGACCATCGAAGCCAGTGGTAATGTATGGAACATGCTAACATCTAAGTGTTACGCGACCATCGTAAACCAGTGGTAATGTATGGAAGATGCTAACATCTAAGTGTTACCACCATCGTAAAGCCAGTGGTAATGTATGGAAGATGCTAACATCTAAGTGTTACGACCATCGTAAACCAGTGGTAATGTATGGAAGATGCTAACATCTAAGTGTTACGACCATCGTGAAGCCAGTGGTAATGTATGGAAGATGCTAACATCTAAGTGTTACGACCATCGTAAAGCCAGTGGTAATGTATGGAAGATGCTAACATCTAAGTGTTACGACCATCGTAAACCAGTGGTAATGTATGGAAGATGCTAACATCTAAGTGTTAACGACCATCGTAAACCAGTGGTAATGTATGGAAGATGCTAACATCTAAGTGTTACGACACCATCGTAAACCAGTGGTAATGTATGGAAGATGCTAACATCTAAGTGTTACGACCATCGTAAGCCAGTGGTAATGTATGGAAGATGCTAACATCTAAGTGTTACGCACCATCGTGAAGCCAGTGGTAATGTATGGAAGATGCTAACATCTAAGTGTTACGAACATCGTGAAACCAGTGGTAATGTATGGAAGATGCTAACATCTAAGTGTTACGACCATCGTAAACCAGTGGTAATGTATGGAAGATGCTAACATCTAAGTGTTACGACCATCGTAAGCCAGTGGTAATGTATGGAAGATGCTAACATCTAAGTGTTACGACCATCGTAAACCAGTGGTAATGTATGGAAGATGCTAACATCTAAGTGTTACGACCATCGTAAACCAGTGGTAATGTATGGAAGATGCTAACATCTAAGTGTTACGACCATCGTAAGCCAGTGGTAATGTATAGTAGGTACGAAAATCGAAGTGTTACTACCATAGTAACTATTCATACGTTTTTACATCAAGACAACTTGTACTGAATTGTATGTATTGAGATACATCAGCAGGAAATGGATGTACTTTTTCCTGAGCCCTGTATTGTGATACTGCATTGCAGTGTCCTTACACCACATGTCTACGGGACCCGTGGAAGATCCGGGGTAGAATAGGTCTTCAGCAACCCATGTGCTTGCCATAAAAAGGCGACTATCTTGTCGTAAGAGGCGACTAACGGGATCGGGTGGTCAGTTTCGCTGACGTGGTTGACACATGTCATCGGTTCCCAATTGCGCAGATCGATGCTCATGCTGTTGATCACTGGATTGTCTGGTCCAGACTCGATTATTTACAGACCGCTGCCATATAGCTGGAATATTGCTGAGTGCGGCGTAAAACTAAACTCACTCACTCACTCACTCACATGTCTACGGCACAAGTTGTACAATGACCAGATCTGGTTGAGCTTGACGCCATGACAACTGCAGCAGCAGCAGCAAATGTTTTCATCAACATCACGGAGAACCGTATACAAACCCATGAAGTATCGACAATAATGAAATGTAGTCAGAAGCCCTCGTTACACTCGATGAATGTTTAAAGTGAAGCCCTGTACCATCTTTCAGAAAACCAAGCAGGTCGACTCTGGGAACTACACATCAGCACAGAATCATGATAAAACATGGCCGCCTAACTCATTTGTTGGTTGTCATGACGACAGTAAATCAAGATCAAGACCCCGGACAATCATTTGTAAAGATATTTCTGTTCAAACAGGTAATCATCATTTTAGAATTCATTCTGTTGTGTCCTTGGGAATGAAATGATCTTTTACTAAAATCTGCTTGTTTACATCAGGAATTCATGTTTTTGGACAAAGTCTACTGGAACTATATTCCTCAGGGACCTCTTTACACTGTTTATATTTCTGTATTTAACATTTTGTGTCTGTTTCCAATGTACCCGTGTTGTGATATGTATTGGGTTATATATGGAGCTGGTGTTTGACAGCGACAGTGACTCGACATGCAGAACCTATTTTCTACATACTAAACTTATCTCTAAAATACAATTTTAAAACTTATCCTACCTCATGTCTGGTACTCTCTCTCTTCAATTCGACCTGCTGAGTGGAAATGAACTGCAAACTAAATCTTAGGCCTCTCTTGTCCATTCGCCAGCGCGCTCTATGCTGCTCCCTTAACTGGACATCTGGGGTAGCTCCTGGGAAGCATGCAGCGCGCTCCACTACCTGCTCAGGTGACCACCTCTCCTAAGTCAGTGTCTTTCTTGTCGCACTGTGGTGTGGACGTAAACTGCAAGCTGGGAGAATATTTTCTGTGATTTCTCTTCCATCCCTTTCATCATGGGGAAGACTGATATGTCTTCAATAAAGAGGAAATTTTGTGCACAATATAAAAGATGTTTTCCACTGCGGACCTCACACGTCTGGTGTTGATTGTGTGGGTTTGTTGTGACCAGTGTAAACAACTTAATGACGAGGCATTTACGGCATACAAGAGAGTAGGCTTCCTTCGTCTCACTGACAGGGACTCTAGGAAACATTCTGACGAGCACGGCTCTACCCCTAAGAAGGCTTAGAAGCAACGCATTTCCAACATAGCCCATCATTATCCCCCGCTGCGCATTTAGCGCCAAGCGGGGGATATAGTATTAGGCTCCGTCCGTAAGTACGAATTGGAATATCTTAAGATCCGTTGACTAGATTCTTTTCATATTTGGTATCTAGGTTCATCACAGTATAAAAAAGGTCCCAGTCAGGTTTGGTGACCTTGACCTTCATTTCAAGGTCACAAGGGGACTTTAACATTTTACTCTTGTCAGTGAGATATCTCAAGAACCATTGCTAGATTTTCTTCATATTCAACACCAGGCTTTAGCTAGGGAAGGCACAGGGCCAAGTCGATTTTGGTGACCTTCACTTAATTTTCAAGGTCATGGAGACACTTTGAAGATTTCAGCATATTAACCTGCATGTTATGCTTGTCAGCGAGACACCTCAAGAAATATTTACTGGACTTTCTTCATATGTGACACCAAGTTTCATCTAGGGAAAGTGCAAGGCCCAGTCGATTTTGGTGACCTTCATTTAATTTGAATGACAAAGACACTTTGAAGATTTCAGCATGTTAAATTGCATGTTAACATAGTCAACAAGATATCGAAAAAAACATTTCCTGGATATTTTTCATATTTGACACCAAGCTTTATCTAATGAAGGCACAGGGCCCAGTCAATTTTGGGGACGTTCACATAATTTTCAAGGTCACTGTGACACTTTGAAGATTTCAGCATGTTAACCTGAATTCACTAGATTTTCTTCATAGACTTTCAAGACTTCCCTTGAATGTTTTTCAACAAGCAATTTCTTTAGTACCATTTTTGCATATTTCATACACTATGACATTCATGTCAAGGTCAAAGTCAGTCTTGAAAATATTTGTGTGTTTGAACAACTAAAGAGCAAGATATCAAGAGAGGTTGACTGGTCATGTTTTTGTTGACATTAAACTTCATCTTAAACTTTCATTACTTTTTAAATTTGATTTGATAATTTGCGGCGGTGGATTATGTCACCTTAGTGACAATGCCCGTCCTTACGGCTATGGATTTCTTGGAAGTTTCCTCGTTTCCTCCAAACTTGTATTTATCTGAAAACTTAAGTCGCCTCCTACGCCTGACTGATTCGCCATCACCTGTTCGTTCTATTGCATCTCGTGTGGTTTTGATGGTCCAGTCATCCAATCTAGAGAAGACACCTGATGCACATGACCTTAGGACTAGCATGATATGGTTGAGCCCGCTCACATTTTGGCTTGGATTGTAGATAAGCTGCATCTACCGAGGAGTATGTCTGTGGATGACTTATCCTTCTTTTATACTATGCCAAATCAGGAGGGGCGGTGGGGTAGTCTAGTGGTTAAAGCGTTGGCTCGTCACTCCGAAAACCCAGGTTCGAATCCCCACATGAGTACAATGAATGACGCCCATTTCTGGTGTCCACCGCCATGATATTGCTGGAATATTGCTAAAAGCAGCGTAAAACCAAATTCAGTCAGTCAGTCCAAATCAGGACCAGGCTTCGATCACCTTTCTTCCTAGAGCCTGCATTATCTCAGATGACGACCGCATTGTTAGACGTGTTTAGGAGTCTGAAGCATGTTAAGGATGGGATGTTCTCCCTATCGCTATTAGGCATGGAGGTCCTGTCAGGATCACCGGTTTAGAGTGAAATTGTTTCGTCACACATGGTCGTCCGAATACCTCTTCAAATAGCCAGATACATGATGTCTCGATGAAGGTGGATTGCGAAACCCAATTTCAGGTTTCCATGGACCTTTTGATGCCACAGTAGACTCTACTCCAAGAAACCATTAAATTCAATTCACTTCTTCGAATCCAGAGCTTCGGGATATTTTTCATGGGACGAGGCAGAGGGAGGAAATAAGGACGTGGTGCTTCCTCCAAGCTTCCGTCCAGATCCGACTCCTGTTCCGGGGCCGGCTCAGGAAGGCAGTGTCTGTCTTTCCTCACGAGACTCTAGCCTTGGCTTCAATGATGGCCCTGCATAGCAACTGTTCCTTGACGTCCATCATGGAAGGGTGCTTTTGGAGATCTGACAAGTCTTCTCTTAACACTACCTGCGAGACCTCTCCATTACTGACAGCAAGGGACTTAAGCAGTTCAGACCCTTGGTGCTTGGACATCACAGTTGTCATCAGCCCACCAATGCTGATAAGGGACTGGGGCTGTGGGGTAGCCTAGTGGTTAAAGCGTTGGCTCATCATGCCGAAGACTCGCGTTCGATTCCCCACATGGGCACAATGTGTTAAGCCCATTTCTGGTGTCCCCCGCCGTGATATTGCTGGAATATTGCTAAAAGCGGCGTAAAACCAAACTCAGTCAGTCTGTGACAAGGGACTTGTTTCGCGTGCGGTTCACTACATCCTTCAATTTACTGAATAAAAGTCTGAACTTTGTGTCTTCCTTTTGTTTTCTCTCAATGCACAAAGATGTACCTCACCTGGTTCCACACTAGGGCTGTGGAGTACAGCCACAGGGCGTGCCTTCATCATAGACTTTGAGGCCCGCTCTTGTACTCCGACACAGAGGTGATCACCTTTGAGGCCCGCTCTTGTACTCCGACACAGAGGTGATCACCTTTGAGACCCGCTCTTGTACTCCGACACAGAGGTGATCACCTTTGAGGCCCGCTCTTGTACTCCGACACAGAGGTGATCACCTTTGAGACCCGCTCTTGTACACAGGTGATCACCCTTCATGCTTACTGATCTCTACTCTTCAGAGCAATTATGTCAGTGAAGTGTGTCCCTCCCGAATTCCAGTCGTTTTCATTGCGTTCTGCTCCTAAGTTGCTGGACACATCTTTGACTAAGGTTAGACAAAGGAGCGAGGGTCATTCAATGTCGTTCGGAACTGAATGTTAGAATAGTGATCTTTCTGAGTCATTTTCCCTTTCATCTCAATGCGTTGGTGTCTACGGGGATGGTCTCAAAGCAAGGGCTGTCCAGATTAAGGTCGAAAGGCTTTAGTTCACTAGGGCTTTCTGCAAATCGGAACTAGGCAAGTTACTTTCTGAAGCTGTATCCTTTTGTCTCATACAGAGGTTGTGACCGTCTACCACTTTGCTTGGGAGCGCCGATCTCCTTGGGAGTCGTTTTGCTTAGTAGGCCAAGGGGTTCTGGAGATCCCATCACAAGCATAGGAGTTAGAGATTCGTAACAGGCCTCCCTTGTGCATCGCTATCTACGGTTGGCTTCAGGCTGCACAGCGTCAGCTGATCGCACTGGCCTGGCCAGAGTAATCTGTCCAACCGCCGTCCAACTGGTACATAAGGACAAGACGTGAGATAGGATAAGAATAAAAATGTGGAAATTTTAACTATACTTATCCTATCTCACGTGTTGGATGCCTGTCCGGCCTCCCCACTAATCAGATTATGACGTTGCTCCAAGAACGAGGATGACTAAGGAGAGGTGGTCACGTGAGCAGGTAGTGGAGCGTGTTGCATGCTTCCCAGGAGCTACTCCAGATGTCCAATTAAGGGAGCAGCATAGAGTGCGCTGGCAAATGGACAAGAGAGGCCTAAGATTTAGTTTGCAGTTCATTTCCACTCAGCAGGTTGAATTGAAATGAGAGAATACAAGACATGAGGTAGGATAAGTATATAAATATTCAATTTATAGTTAAAATTTCCAATATTATCATTTTGAAAACAGCAATCTCAAAATTAGTTGGTATAGTTAGGAATTAGTTACTCTTTATATGATTTATAATGTCTAAAGTAGGACATTTTGACAATTTATAGTGTCTAAAGTAGGCCGTTTTGACAATTTATAGTGTCTAAAGTAGGCCGTTTTGACAATTTATAGTGTCTAAAGTAGGCCGTTTTGACAATTTATAGTGTCTAAAGTAGGCCGTTTTGACAATTTATAGTGTCTAAAGTAGGCCGTTTTGACAATTTATAGTGTCTAAAGAAGGCCGTTTTGACAATTTATAGTGTCTAAAGAAGGCCGTTTTGACAATTTATAGTGTCTAAAGTAGGCCATTTTGACAATTTATAGTGTCTAACATAGGTCGTTTTGACAATCAATGAAAAAGTTAAACAACAGGTGTAAATGAAAGTCTGTGTAGATATTAATAGGGCAGCAATGATTTGGTTTGATTCATCGTAAATCAAATCTGACGCATTACTTTCGATTTTCGATAACCATTATCACTATTTCGATTCGATATTTCAATATCTATTTAAATTCTTTCCACATGGCGAGAACGTAATTTTGACTCTAACTCGAGCAGTTTAGAGCGCTGAAATTGTGCGAAACATGATTGGTTTGATCCCAGGCTGTTTGCGTCAGAAACGGACTGATGAATTGCAAATTTGATCATTGTACAAAATTGCCACATAAATATAAATAGTACACATGTTTATCATTTACTAATACCCTACAGCTTTCTTTTATTTGAAAATTTTCCAGACTCCAACGAGGTAAGAAACTACAGTCAAATCCTGATGAGTAGAATGCCGGTGTCTCGAATATTATGCATAACTCGAAGTACCTGTCGGTCCCGACCATTCCCTGTTATAGTTATCATCATTTGATTTCCGGTTACACGAATTCTTCTCATAAATACACACTATGACTCGAAATGGAAATTTGGTCCCATGAGATTCAAACAACAGCAATCTTGTATACATAAGCCGAAGTCAGTCAATGAAAAGTTGATTGGTGTAGCAAACTGATCCAATTAACAAACCAGCGCGGCTCACACCTTTCCGCCAATGACGGGTGAGTTCAAAAGGCAGATTAGTGATTTTACGGAAATCCCTGTCTGTGCTAATCAGACTGGAACTGATAAGGTGCCCTATTAGTGATAGGAAATCATAAGATAAAAAAATGCTTAGGCGGAGGAATTAGCACTGGATCATCCTTTTTTTTTACCCTCATAGACATACCTATGTCTCGAATACATCGTTAAGTCGAATTTATTACTTGGTCCCCAGCGATTCAACTCATCGGGATTTGACTGTATCATCATTGAAAACGCAAGAGTTGTTATCTGTCGCGGCGGGGTGAAACCGCAGAAACGGAACAACCACTATCTCGTTGTGCACGGGATACAATGAAGTTGAATGCTGACGAGAACCAGTTGATGATTAAAGTGTACGATTTTTTCCATGCTGAAGCCGACAGGGGCAAACCATTTTATGCCATTAATAAATTCCGTAAGCGGGCAGTAAAAGCTTTAGGAGTATCAGCAAGGGTACTGACAAATGTTCTGGAACACAAACATTGCGAGGGTGATGCGAAGCAGGTAGGGGTCGTGTCAAAATCACACAAATTAAAACATTTGGACAACTTTCAAAAGAACCTTGTAAGGCAGTCTATCAACTAGCTCTATTCTGAAAACAAATACATGTCGCTGAAAATTTTTAAAAAGCATTGAAGCAAGAACACAACCTCAGAGTATCAAAGTACACACTCTGGCGACTCTTACACTCTTTCGGGTATCGTTATAAGAAAATTTCGGGGGAGAATAGGTCAGTACTCTGTGAACGCTCTGATAACGTTCGCTTGAGAAATAATTTTCTCAGGGTTATGAAGAAGAAGCGCGAGGAATGGTTTGAGCCAGTGTACTTGGACGAGACCTGGGTCAATGCCTCGCACACTGCCAGCAGTCAGTGGGTACCCGATGGGGGTGATAAGGGGTCATGTTGAAAGCTGCCTCTAGGGAAGGGAGAGAGACTAATCATTTTCCATGCTGGTTGCTCCAGCAAAGGGTTTCTCCAAGGCTGCGACTTGGTATTCAGGGCAAAGTCCACAGATAACAGAGACTACCATTCCGAGATGAATGGTGCGGTTTTCCTCGATTGGGTTAAAAACAAGTTGGTACCAGCTCTACCAGAGAAGTCTTTTATCATAATGGACAATGCCCCATACCACAGCATGCAGGACCCCGACAGTAAAGCCCCGACATCGAACAGTCGAAAAGGTGATATGATATCATGGCTCGTCAAATTTCAGATCGCACAGCCTTAAAAGGCAACGAAGCCTCAGCTATATGAGATCATAAAAACCCACAAAGGTGAACCTTTCTACAAAGTTGACAGTTACATAAAAAGTAAGGGTCACGATATTCTGCGACTTCCACCCTATCACTGTGACCTTAACCCCATTGAAATGATATGGGGTATTGTCAAAGGAGATGTTGCCAGATGAAACACAACTTTTAGATTACGTGACATAGAGGTTTTGGTTAAGGAATCCTTTAACAAAATCACGACTGAAACCTGGCAAAACTATGTCAACAAGGTAGCTAACGTCATTGAACAAGGTTACTGGTCTCGGGATGGCTTACAACAGTCAACTGTGGCACCACTTGTCATCGCTTTAAGTCGTGACTATGACACTACGACGGACGAAGAACCGACAGGTCTCCCGGAATAGATTTGGAGATGTCCCCCATGACTGGCTGTTCTGTTTCTGCGGTTTCACCCCGCCGCGACAGATAACAACTTTTGCGTTTTCAATAATGATAGTTTCTTAAACAACTTTTTGGGTGGAGTCCGGAAAATTTTCAAATGTAAGAAAGCTGTTGGGTATTAGTAAATGATAAACATGTGTACTATTTATATTTATGTGGCAATTTTGTACAATGTTAAAATTTGCAATTCATCGGTCTGTTTCAGACTCAAACGGACTGTAATTATCCAGTGAGAATTGTTATTGGTAGACATTGCCAAGTTGACGATGGATTTCACGCTAAAAGACCGACTCACTTGAACTCCGAGAGTTAAATGAATCTGATGTTATTAATTGTATGAAGAATCGAATAAAAAACAATCGAATCGAGGGTTGAAAATCAAATCAAATCAAGGTCTTGGTGAGTCGTTGCAGCTGTAGATATTAACGTAAACCATGGAGGTTCCCACAAAACTTCATTTATGTTTTTATCCAATATACCTCTTCTCAGGAAGAAATTATTGCAATACATATCGTTTGAACAGTCTTAAGACGTATAAAAGCTTCAGAATTGACTTCAAAATGTTTTGGAGTTATGAACTTGAAATAGTGTGCACACCATTGTTTATGTTTAAACCTGAGTTGGAGAAAGTTGACTATACAGTCCGCTGCCTGAGCTGTAATTGCTCCTGCCGTTCCTACAGCTGCTCCTCTGACATGCACGTGTACCAACAGTGTATGAAATACGCCAAAAACCCAGCCAGACATCTGGGCTGGTAACTTCAAAAACTTACCAGCCCAGAAGAGATTTAACCAGTCCTTCTTAAATACTAAATAGACAGTGCCAGTGGACACTTTATTTGAATATTTTGTTCACCCGTCCATCGGGCTGGCTATCTGTAAAACTGGACCGTCTGGCAGAAATCTAGCCGTCTCGGGCTGTCGGACGGACCTTATTTCATACACTGGTAACAATGACCTCCATTCAGTTCGGAATCTCCACACTGCTTGACTCTGGTAACAATTAGGGATGGTAGACTCAGGCGTGAATTTGATAGTAACCATCGTGTAGAGTAGCATGCCCCTTGTCATGTGATCAAGGAATGGAGGTTAGGGTCTGGTATATGCTCCATCACTAACTCAAGGATTAACCCTTGACTGTTTCAGATTTCTCAGATGAACTCGCTGCCTTGACTCTTTCCCAAAGACCAAATGCCTTGTACACTGTTTCTCATTCATGGAAAAGGAAGGAGAAAAACAGTTCCGATTCCAACATTGTGTCTTACACATCCGACTCGGAAGTGGACTCCGACAGTGGGTACAGTAGTCCCTTACATCGGAGAAATGTTCGGTCCAATGGAACTGACCCAGTCGGTCCGTTGTTACTCCCTACGCACCCAGAACCGGAACATGGACGCAACTTGTTTGGACGTAACCATAGCACCAAGTCACCTCAAAGTGGGCAGCAATTGACTTACGCAACGATTGCTCAACAAAAACCTGGCTCGCGGAGAACGTTAAGTTACAGTGATGTAGCTGCGTCTCAGCTAATCGCCACCTGTGATAACACAAATCTACCTTCTCAAAGCCCTGTTACTGTGATACCTGTAAATAATGAATCGGACGTTAACGAGGGCATGCAGAAGGCAGAGGGAGGGAAAAGACGTCGAAGACGGAGAAACAGGAAGAGGAAAAAGAAGACACAAGAGGACGGGGGACAAAGTGATGGATTGTCTGTGACCGGGAGGACGTTCTCAAGCTCAAATGTGTCACGCACTTCGGATGTTACTTTACATTTTGAGGATGATAGTGAGTTCCCGGATCTGTATCCTAGCAACGTGGAATCTGGTCAGGAGCGGGATGTGGATATTATCTCACGCCAGAGCTCCATATCTTACAGTCAGATCCTGAAGTCGGTAAGATCAATTTCTATTTCTTATCATAGAGTCATAGGCTTCGTGTATACTTTCCTGACACTATTTCAGTCCGACAATCCATTTCTCTATGACTTTTACATAACGCTTACGATGAAGGACTTCTAGTCTTGTTTGATACAAAGTGAATCCCTGAAGCCCTGTGTGAATCTAGAGCCCACCAATATCTGTTACATGAACTTCAGGACTTTGACAAGTGACTGTGTTGCTCTGTTTGGACCTCTGGGTTTTGACGTTCATGTTAAAATTCTGCTGACCTCGACTGTTTCTGTATACATACCTTCCTTGCCACTGCTTTATTTCTGAAGGGGACAATTTCACTGTTTGTGTTGATGTTGATGGCGAGCATATTGATGAAAGTTGAGGTGAGATGTCTACAAAGTGGCCAGTATGTTGATGTAGGTTGATGTGAGGACATGTCTACAAAGTGGCCAGTATGTTGATGTAGGTTGATGTGAGGACATGTCTACAAAGTAGCAAGTATGTTGATGTAGGTTGATGTGAGGACATGTCTACAAAGTGGCCAGTATGTCGATGTAGGTTGATGTGAGATGTCTACAAAGTGGCCAGTATGTTGATGTAGGTTGATGTGAGGACATATCTACAAAGTGGCCAGTATGTTGATGAAGGTTGATGTGAGGACATGTCTACAAAGTAGCCAGTATGTTGATGTAGGTTGATGTGAGGACATGTCTACAAAGTGGCCAGTATGTTGATGTAGGTTGATGTGAGGACATGTCTACAAGGTGGCCAGTATGTTGATGTAGGTTGATGTGAGGACATGTCTACAAAGTAGCCAGTATGTTGATGTAGGTTGATGTGAGATGTCTACAAAGTGGCCAGTATGTTGATGTAGGTTGATGTGAGGACATGTCTACAAGGTGGCCAGTATGTTGATGTAGGTTGATGTGAGGACATGTCTACAAAGTGGCCAGTATGTTGATGTAGGTTGATGTGAAGACATGTCTACAAGGTGGCCAGTATGTTGATGTAGGTTAATGTGAGGACATGTCTACAAAGTAGCCAGTATGTTGATGTAGGTTGATGTGAGGACATATCTACAAGGTGGCCAGTATGTTGATGTAGGTTGATGTGAGGACATATCTACAAGGTGGCCAGTATGTTGATGTAGGTTGATGTGAGGACATGTCTACAAAGTGGCCAGTATGTTGATGTAGGTTGATGTGAGATGTCTACAAGGTAGCCAGTATGTTGATGTAGGTTGATGTGAGGACATGTCTACAAGGTGGCCAGTATGTTGATGTAGGTTGATGTGAGGACATGTCTACAAAGTGGCCAGTATGTTGATGTAGGTTGATGTGAGGACATGTCTACAAAGTGGCCAGTATGTTGATGAAGGTTGATGTGAGGACATGTCTACAAAGTAGCCAGTATGTTGATGTAGGTTGATGTGAGGACATGTCTACAAAGTGGCCAGTATGTTGATGTAGGTTGATGTGAGGACATGTCTACAAGGTGGCCAGTATGTTGATGTAGGTTGATGTGAGGACATGTCTACAAAGTAGCCAGTATGTTGATGTAGGTTGATGTGAGATGTCTACAAAGTGGCCAGTATGTTGATGTAGGTTGATGTGAGGACATGTCTACAAGGTGGCCAGTATGTTGATGTAGGTTGATGTGAGGACATGTCTACAAAGTAGCCAGTATGTTGATGTAGGTTGATGTGAGGACATGTCTACAAAGTAGCCAGTATGTTGATGTAGGTTGATGTGAGGACATATCTACAAGGTGGCCAGTATGTTGATGTAGGTTGATGTGAGGACATGTCTACAAAGTGGCCAGTATGTTGATGTAGGTTGATGTGAGATGTCTACAAGGTAGCCAGTATGTTGATGTACGTTGATGTGAGGACATGTCTACAAGGTGGCCAGTATGTTGATGTAGGTTGATGTGAGGACATGTCTACAAAGTGGCCAGTATGTTGATGTAGGTTGATGTGAGGACATGTCTACAAGGTGGCCAGTATGTTGATGTAGGTTGATGTGAGGACATGTCTACAAGGTGGCCAGTATGTTGATGTAGGTTGATGTGAGGACATGTCTACAAGGTGGCCAGTATGTTGATGTAGGTTGATGTGAGGACATGTCTACAAAGTGGCCAGTATGTTGATGTAGGTTGATGTGAGGACATGTCTACAAAGTGGCCAGTATGTTGATGTAGGTTGATGTGAGATGTCTACAAAGTAGCCAGTATGTTGATGTAGGTTGATGTGAGATGTCTACAAGGTAGCCAGTATGTTGATGTAGGTTGATGTGAGGACATGTCTACAAAGTGGCCAGTATGTTGATGTGAGGACATGTCTACAAAGTGGCCAGTAGGTTGATGTGAGGAGATGTCTACAAAGTGGCCAGTATGTTGATGTGAGGACATGCTTTTGTAGGTAGTACTTCGAGTAAAACCTGCATTTGAATTAACAAGGTGTTAGGGTAATATTCTCATGGTTAAATGACAAGGTGTCAGGGTAATATTCTCATGGTTAAATAACAAGGTGTTAGGGTAATATTCTCATGGTTTAATAACAAGGTGATAGGGTAATATTCTCATGGTTTAATAACAAGGTGTTAGGGTAATATTCTCATGGTTAAATAACAAGGTGTAAGGGTAATATTCTCATGGTTTAATAACAAGGTGTCAGGGTAATATTCTCATGGTTTAATAACAAGGTGTTAGGGTAATATTCTCATGGTTTAATAACAAGGTGATAGGGTAATATTCTCATGGTTTAATAACAAGGTGATAGGGTAATATTCTCATGGTTAAATAACAAGGTGTCAGGGTAATATTCTCATGGTTAAATAACAAGGTGTCAGGGTAATATTCTCATGGTTTAATAACAAGGTGATAGGGTAATATTCTCATGGTTTAATAACAAGGTGATAGGGTAATATTCTCATGGTTAAATAACAAGGTGTTAGGGTAATATTCTCATGGTTTAATAACAAGGTGTCAGGGTAATATTCTCATGGTTTAATAACAAGGTGTCAGGGTAATATTCTCATGGTTTAATAACAAGGTGATAGGGTAATATTCTCATGGTTTAATAACAAGGTGATAGGGTAATATTCTCATGGTTAAAGAATACTTCCACATGCAACTTGCTCCTCTCAGCTGCTACATCAAGCATTTTTTCAGTTATGTTTTGGGGTATTTTCGAGAAATATACATGGAATTCAAATTTGTTAAAGCAATAACTCACAAAACGGAAATACACTTTAGATGGTATCTCATCATGCGTTGGGATATGTATTTTCAAATTATCTGAAAATGTCTGTTTTCCAGGATAGTGAGTGATTACAGTTCCCAAAATACCCTCCAAATTATAATTGAATTTCTTAACAGTTTATGTATGTTTGAAAATATCCTCATGCAGGGTTTTACACAGACTTTTAAAAATGGGAGTCATGGTGACTCACAATATGTATTTTTGGGAGTCATTTTCAGTATTGCGAGAGTCATGAACATTAAATATTTCTTTGTGTTATGTAACTGTCTATGTCACACCACCAAGTGAAACTACAGCATTGTTCAATTCACACAGCCAGGATTACTGTCTCCTCTGAGTTCTCTCAACAATCTGACAGCTCTGTAAAAGTCTGTAAAACTATCATCGAACAATATCATTTTTTTGCATATCCAATTTTATTGAACTGAATTGTGAGGGCCACCTATAAAACTTGAGTCAAGCTTGATTCGTATGATAGTATTTTGAGAGTCGTTAACACAATTGTTGCGTCAAATACGCAGGAATCACGCGTCATGAAAATCCCTGCTCATGTGATTGTTTGTTTATAGGCAATCACTATCTAGGGTGTCTGTTGACTTCCTGGTATTTGAATCAGTGAGTTTAGTTTTACGTCACACTCTGCAATGTTCCAGCTATATGGGAGCGGTCTGTAAATAATCGAGTCTGGACCAGACAATCCAGTGATCAACATCATTATCATCGATCTGCGCAATTGGGAACCAATGACATGTGTCAACCAAGTCAGCGAGCCTGACCACCTGATCCCGTTAGTGGCCTCTTACAACAAGCATGGGTTACTGAACGCACATGCTAACACGGACCTTCACATGTAAAATGAATGTAGATAGCCCGAAATGTCGAGTTGTTTACATTAGTGGCCCCCTTCAATTGGATTATAGCAGCTCACAGGGAGGTGTGTAGCCATGGTCGCTCACAAGCACACGGGCTACATTACCTGGAAACAAATCACTTTATCTTACATGGGATTTTACATAATCTCTATGTTTTATTGAGATTTTGTTCATAACAGTTTTAAATGTGTTAGTGAGTGGTAAAGGCACATTCAAGGGTATTGTTGAACAAACACACTAGAAACCTTGTATTCAAAATTATTTTAACAATTCAAAATTGCCTGTTTTGATTTTGAAACCTGGGCTTTATCTTGTTTTAGCATCACATCACAGAAAAACAAAACATTTTATCAACGTCAGGAAGGAAAAGTCTTATTTTCTGATGAAAACATATTTAGTCAATAATTTGGATGAGTCCTGTTTTAATGTGTTCATTGAGGTATGTGTTTATTAATCACTATTAAGTAGTGATGATACCATGAAAAGGTGGTTGTGTTCTGCCCAACTGATTTGACTCGTCCCAAACACCTGCAAAGGCAAGTCAAGCGTGGGACGTGAATTGAAACATGTCCTCAGAACCCGGCGGTGGGGTAGCCTAGTGGTTAAAGTGTTTGCTCGTCACACTGAAGACCCGGGTTTGATTTCCCACATAGGTGCAATGTGCGAAACCCATTGCTGGTGTCACCTGGCATGATATTGCTGGAATAATACTAATAGCGGCGTAAAACTCTACTCAATCACTCACAGGAGATATTGGATAAGTGAGAATAAGCATTACCTTTGTGGAAATATCACTACAATGAATTTCATCACCATGCGAAGTAGGTCATTGTGACATCATCACTATTGACTGATGGGTCTAATCT